TAAAACCAACACTTGCACACACTCAAGTGGTGAATAAAGCTCATTCTGATTCTGATTCTAATATAACTAGCATACGTTTCACTTTTTGTGAGAAGAAAGCACCCCTACAACAACTTCTGAAAGTGAATGGTAGTGTAACGGTAGTGTTTTAATCTAGCAGTACATAAAAATGTCATTTTAACATGAGTTTAGGAACTGAATAATAAAAAGGAAAAATACAACACTGCTTAGTATTTACTCTATGAATTCAATATGCACTGATTCTTACTTAAGCTACAAAAGTTATTTAGGTAAGAGCAGTGAGTGATTTTCTCTTTGTCTTTTGTTCATGGCCCCAAATATTGCAAGCCGTAGCGATATGCATATTGCGATATGTACATTTGCGATATTTCGATAATTTCGATATATTGCACAGCCCTAATATATATATATTTCCACTCATAAACACAACGTCAGCCAATAGAAGGACCCTTCAGCAGGCAGACAGGGATTACCTCTCCCCTGACGTGCCCCCTCACCATGTGTCTGGGTCACCCAGCAGTGGCCAAACATTCAAACAAACACAGGTTGCTCTCAGTTATAGCCTCGTATATGAAACCACTTGAAGGACAGGGTTAATATCTTGTAAATGTCTTCTGTAATGAAGAGCAGGCTCACTGCAGGACAGCTGCACTGGCAGTGAAAGCATGCCAGCATTTCTCAAGAGAAATACCTTCATTCTGTTTCATTCTGTTCACTTAATGCAGATATCAGTATTAGGCTCTTGACTTGGCAGGTTTTCACTGTCCCTTCTTGAAAAAAGATCTTAAATTCATAATAAACAATTTGATCCCATTACATTATTTTATAGCAGTCCACTGATATATCACAATGGCCAATATTACTGGCTGAAATTTAGCATTTGAATATCTAACAAACGTTTTTTTTGCCACAAATTTCAGCTGTTAGATAGATCTTGTGTGCATAGCTTGCATAAAACGCTTGTTCTTTTGTTCTGTTGAGATTTTTTTTTCCAAATTGATTTAGTTTCAGATAGGGATGGGCCGATTACCGGTTTCAAGGTATACCGCGATTTGAAAATTTCGCGGTTTCAAAACCACCAATATTTTCCGTTATAACATTCCTGCGGTATGCGCTGTTTTTCATGTCTCCTCAAAGACTGAAAGTGTAGGAATCCCTCAGGTTGAGTGCAGTGTAGAGTAACACGACCCTCCTCCTCCTGTTGGTGTGAGCGAGCGGTCAGTCACGTGTGTGTATGACGGCCGAACTTAAGGAGCTGCCCCTGGAACTTGCGCGATCGGCAACCGGCCGTTTTTTGTCTTATTGTAGCTCATCTCTGTTCTGGACTTGCACAAACTGCGTTGCAATGCAATCGTTTTCCGAAATGTCATTTATGTGAAAATATGAAGTCTGTAAACACCCGTTAACACAAGCCAGAGACCCTGAAGACGGACGCAAAGAGAAAAATACTGTAGCAGGAAGATCACTCACTGTTCATGATGCACAAACTATTGGAAGAAAATCCTAAATATTGATTTGGGGGTTTATATGAATGTGTTTCTGAGGGGAACTGACTGTCTTCAGAAAAGTTTGTGGTATTTTCTTTTAATCTAGTCTCTGTATAGTTCATATTAAAGCAGTGTTTCAGCGCAGCGCTGCTTTGTTTATGGCGGTAACCAAGGAAACGCTGTATCTGGTGTTCCATGAGCGCCTCCTGCTGTCAGAGAGTGAATCTGCTTCTCATTCAGAGCTTCTGCTGTTTGCTTCGTTCAGACATGTAGTATAATTTCACAAAGCTAGTCAGAACATTCTGTTTTTGCTTCAAATTGGGTTATTATTAAATCAAATTATGTATATAAAATTATATAACTAAATTATATAAATGATATGTATATTAATTATATAACTAAAATGAAATCACTGTAATTACAGATTTAGGTTAAATAAAGATTTAACTTTATTTTTCTTTTTAGGAAACAAATCAAAGAAAAACTTAACAAATTCTACTGTTCCTAATATTCTGTATGCTGCTCAAAAACAAAATATATTGTGTTCAGTGGAAAAAAGTTTTTTTTTTTTTTTTTTTAACCCAGTCATTTAAAAATAACACATTTTAGTGCTGTAACGACAATACCGTGATACCGAGAAACCGTGATATTTTTGCTTAAGGTTATCATACCGTCAAAATCTCATGGGCTATGATCAGCTCACTGTCTGCCGCTGGCCACTTGGTCGTTACTTTAAAGAACAAAAAATGCTCCAAATGTTTTTCTAAATTAACTTAATAAAATAATGAAACAAAATATAATCACTTTGCCATTACATACAAAACTGAACTATTTTAATAGCTGAAACAGTAGTATAAACTGTTTTGGGAGAAGGTGGAAAAAAAGATGGGCTCGGGCCATGTAATTCTGATAAGCTGTCGGACACGGGCCGGGCTAGGGCCTGAGCGTCTCGGGCCAGGGCCAGGGCCGGGCAAGGGCCTAAATTTGAGGCC